TACACTCAGACTTTACACTTGCACTGGTTTTGTATTGTTTCTGATGTTACCCTGGGTGTTCCAGTAAAGCACTGACTCACTCCACAGAAAATAACTGTATGCTGGGAGAGGAATTAGGGAGTGAACCTCCCACCTCCGACAGCAGCTGGGCTTTCAGGTACATAACCCTCACAATCAGCTCCTTCACCAAAACACTCTGCACCAGCACTTCTCCTCTCTCTCGCCGGTCTGTTCTCCCTCCACACCTCCTGCCCCAGTGCCATCTGTCCCCGTTCTGGGCTCAGATTCCTCCCGTGCTTCTGCCCCTCCCTTCAGAACGTTACTTCTCGACAGTTCCTCCTTAACAGGAAGAAGCTTCCCGGAACTACTATAAATATATTTTAAAAGAAAAATATATCCCACAGAAGTACTCCCTTACAGAAGCAGGATGGGGACAAGAAGGAACAGCTTTTCTGAATACGGAGATATTCGTGCTGTGTCCTGTCACACATATAGCTACAGCATAGCAAGAGTTTAAAGAGTTTCCCTTTTAAGACTACTAAAGTGACTTGAAAACACTTAGGTGTCTTGAAGACATTCGAAGTACATATGGTATAAGAAAAGGTAAAGTATATTACGAGCAGTTTAGAGAAAGGGGCCTTCAGGGGAAGGAAAAAAAAGCACTGCGTAATGGCCAGCCTACCATCTTAAGCTGTTTTCTCCCGACAACTGTACACATTACAATTATAAACTCAAGATAAACTACGGACACAGGCAAAGGACCGAACTGCAAGTACAACAGCAAAACATGCCCTCTCCTCTGAAACCACATTTCCCCAGGAACGGGCGTCGCTTCCTCCCAGCGGCGGAGCCGCCGCAAGCCCCGCTCCCCCTGCCAGCCCTGGAGCCGCTGCTGTCACCCCGGGCTCCGGCAGCCCCCGGACCCCGGCCCCGCGGGACACGGGCCCGGCCCTCAGCCCCGCCCGGCCCCGGCCCCTCGCCCCCGTCCCGTGCCTACCGAGGGTCCTGTGGAGCCGCTGCCACCGCCGCCCGTCCCAGGTGCTGGCCGGCGCTGCAGGGCGGTGCCGGGGAGCGGCAGGAGGAGGAGCCGCCGCGGCCCGGCTCACTCGGCCCGCCCCGCCCCGCCGCGCTGCGAGGGAGGGCCGGGGCCGGCCGGTGCGGAACCTGCCGGGCGCGGGGAGCCCCGGGGCACGGCCCCCCACCGGCCCGCACCGGCCGCGGGTGGAAACCGCACGACAGGTTTGGCCACAGGCGGCTCCAGCGAGGGGCCCATTGTGTAAAAAACAAAAGGCAGGGTAAGAAAGGGAGCTCCGCCCGTGACGTGCGCAGCCGGGCATTCCCCGAGAGCGCAGCGTCGCCCGAGGGACCGGCTGACCTGGACGCGGCGAAGGCGAATCCTGGAAGCTGCGAGTCAAGTGGAGGTTGTAAGCGTTCAGCGCAACATCGGATTAAAACCCAAAACCACCCCTGACTGCTCTTACCGGAAAACTTCAGAAAACATGCCTTTCAAACAGGGTGGTACAGGTTATACGTTTTGTATAAAACATACTTTTCCTTAAGTAAAATTCCACCAAAAATCAAGAGGAAGGAGATTGTTCATGTCAACTTTTTTTAGCACAAGCAGTAATAGATAAAGGCTTCAATAAAGTATTTTTTCCCTACATGCATTCTTTAAAGATGAGTGAAGTTCCTCACATGGAAGCATTTAGAGAGACAAACCAAGATAATAAAAACGAAAAATAAAAAGGGCTAGCATTTTCCAATTATATTTCTTTTGCCAAGACACTAATCAAAATAGCAAACACAGCATTACCTAACTGAATCACAGCATTATACAACTTGGGTGGGGAATGAACTTGACTTTGCAGCTGGGAATTTTGTGAACAGGGTCCAGAACCTCCTTTCCAACACTTGCTTCTCTAAAGTGTATGCTTTATAACAGGCAATTTTATTTACAATGAAACTAATCTGGATAGATGTGTTCACACTTCTTAAAGCATCCTGTTCAAACACCAATAGCTCTTTGTGGAAGACCTGAGCTGCTTATCCTCGGTGCATCTTTCACATACCACAATGGGCAATCATTGAAATACAACAGCTGTGATTGAACTAAAGAAAAGAAATTGCCATTTTTCCCTCTCCCTCATCAAAATTTTAATTGGTACTGTAGAGGCCAAGGCTGCACTCATGGGAAACAGCTACATTTAAAATAGTCTAAAGCAGGTGAACAGCTATATTTGAATATAAGAACAGCTGTGGTGGTTTAACCCCAGCCAGCAACCAAGTCCCACAAAGCTTCTCTTCTTCCCTGGCCAGTAAGATCAAGGAGAGAATGAGAGAGGTAAAAGCCAGAAAACTTGTGTGGTGAGATAAAGATAGTCTAATAGGAAAAGCAAAAGCCTTGTACACAAAGAAAAAGCAATTAATTCTCCATTTCCCATGGGCAGGCAGATATTCAGTCATCCTCAGGAAAACAAGACTCCACCACACATAACAGTTACTTGGAAAGATAAATGCCATTATTCCAAATATCCCCCCTGCTTTCATAGACTGAGTACAATGTCATACGGTGTGGCAAATCCCTTGGGGTCAGTTGGGGTCAGCTGTGTCCCTGCCCAACTTTTTCCACACCCCCGGTCTCCCCAGTGGTGGGGTGAAAAGCAGAAAGGCCTCAGCTCTGTGCAAGCCCTGCTCAGCAATAACAAAAACATCTCTGTATTACCACCACTATCTTCAGCACAAATCCAAAACATAGCCCTCCACTAGCCACTGTGAAGAAGATAAACTGCACCTCAGTAAAAACCAACACATTAGCTTATTGTGGTTTAGCACAAATTATAAATCATCTTGAGATATCTTAAGCTTCACGGATAAAGGCATTTCTCAATAATTGGCAAAGTGAAACATCAGCACAGGTTCTGATGCAGAGTGCAGCCTGATGTTCACTGTGCAGGCATGTGGAGAAATGAAGATGTGCCCAAAGTAGCTCCAGTGAAAAGAAGGTCAGGGATCTTTGTCCTGCGAGTCTGCTGGTATTGCTTCTCTTGGGAGTTAAGCTCCTCTCACCTGTGTCAGCCACAAGGGGCCACATGAGCTCTAACACGAGAGTTCTGCTAACCCCAGGAACTTGGACTGAAACAGGTTAGGAGCCATTCAGAGGAGCTGCCACTCCCATCAGATGAGAACACAGCAACTTCTACAAAGCATTATTTCTTCTTCCAGCAGGATTTGGAAAAAAACCAACCTCATATTTCTACAACTTTAGTACTGCTATTTTTTCACGTAGAAAAGCCCTTTGAGTATCAATGCCTAGGCTGGAGGGGGTGTATGAGGAAACTTGTACTGCTGCAAGCAGCCTGGCATTCATTCCAGACCAGGTTGTGCTCACTTTGAAGTCAATTGCAATCCTCCATGGGTTTAACCAAGGTCTAGATTTGGCTTACTTCTATGAATTCCTCTATTTATCCAGGCTCAGTGACTGGAAGTCTCACACCTTTGATGCTCCATTCATAAACAGAAAACTGGACTAGCTGTGGCAGCATATGGAATATTCTTCTAACAAAGAAATCATTGTATGGAAACCTACTACCTGCCATTTTCAGACAGTCAGGGACTGAGACATTTGCTTAACATACTTTATTTCTGGAAATTTTTCCACAGGAATGATAACCTCTGAGCCCATGCTTTTTGCTACCTCTGGCTGGATTAAAACCATTTTCCTGCAAAAACTGCTACAGGCATCACATATACTTCTCAGCATCCACAGGCAGCACATATACTTCTCAGCATCTACTTAAATTTCGGGAGTTTTAATATCTTTTTATTTCCCAACCCCTTGGGTTTTACTATTTAAGCTGGTATTTAACCAGGACAGAACCCCAAAGCACCATGGGCTGTGCAATTGAACAGAGGTTTACTTTTACTTATATAAAAAACCTGTCACTCTGTATTGGCATTTCAAACCAAATTCATACAGACAGTGATGCCACAGTCAAAAATGAAGCAGAAACAAGGCCTAGAATCCTTGGTGTTGGGACAGTGGGAGTTTGCCTGTCATCTCAGGCAATGCTTTCTGACATTGTGCTCATACTGACCCAGAAATGAAGCAGAAACAAGGCCCAGAATCTTTGGTGTTGGGACAGTGGGAGTTCGCCTGTCATCTCAAGCACAGTCACACTGCTTTCTGACATTGTGCTCATACTGACCCAGTACCAACTGAAAGAGAGAAGCATCTGTGGGAGAACCCACAAAAATCACAGCAGCATTTCCTGCAAGCAATGCATTTTCCTAGTGATCCTTCCAAGCTTACAAGCTCCAGCCTTGTAGTTTTCCAAGTGGATTTGTGCCATTATAACACACAGACCAGAACTGAGTGGTGGAAACTAGTACAACAAAACATCCACACTCCTGATTTCACAGGTACTGTCTTCATTTTTCCATATTCATTTTATAGCATTTCATTTCTATCAGTAAAATATTCCATTGTTGAAAATTCAAAAAGAAAAATCTTGAGTGTTTACACAGTAAAAGCCAGCAGAAAATACTAAAGAAAACAAAATCTACAAGTATTACAATGCAGTCTTTCCGACAGCCTAGGACCCTCGAGTACCACTCAGCATGAGGTACATTTTTGGGAGTTCTAGCCTGGAACCCAAATGGTCCAGGTTATCCCAGAGGTTTCCTGCATGAACTTGATCAGGTTCAGATCTCTGAAGGTGCACATGCATACAGCCTACCTTCATTTTGGGCCCTAAGGAACCGATATACATCATTTGTAACTCACTCTCTTATGAGAAAGGGTGTTCTCTCACAGCCGTGCTGGGTTGTAGTTCACTTTTGTTACAGTCCTATTGGTTGATGGAGATTTTAGAAAGACATTTGCCCAAATCCTTCCACTCTGCCTTAACCACAAAAGACATTTATCTTCCCTCCTTGCTTTCCTTACTGCTCCTGAGCATTCCGAGCATTCTGTAGGTTTTATACTTACTCTTTTTTTTTTCTTTTGGCACGCATAGTTTCTAACTCCTTCAGCTTGCAACTCCTCTATGCACCTGTTTTCCTTCTTCATAACTGGGCCTTCAGTTAAACCAGATCCCTGCAAGACAATATCATGTATTTGGATTTGCCTGCCCTGCTTGTTCCTCCACAGGTTCTTTGTATGTGCCAGTGTATTAGACTTGAAGGTAACAAGCATTTGATGGTAACAGCATTATCCTCAATCTGTGTTACATTCCTGAGAAAATTTTACTGCTTAAAATCCATTGCTTGGAGGCAGGCTTAGCTGAAATGACCTCTGCACTCCAGCTTTGTTTCCTCAGTGCATTTTTGTTGCAATAGGAGACTGCAATGTTTAATGTCTGCTCTGCCACTAGTCTGGAATAAAGGTGATACAGCCTAGGCCTCAACTTGCTGTATGCTGAGGAATGCAACACTACAGCCATTTCATAACTGGGCCAGAACTTGTGATGGACTGTACAAACTATGTTATCAAACTATCTGCCTTAGACCTGGGTAGGTCTGTAGCATAAAAAACTTTTGTGAGATTATTTTCTTGCATGTATCTTGCATTTCCCCCCCAAACCATCTTGCTGTGAGCTTCGATCTGTGAGGCTGTCAATCTGAGCATCTTCCACTGTTACTGAAAGCATTCAAATTAAGAGTGAGTTGGATTGCTGAGCATGCATTTGTATGTAAACCATTACCGTTCACATGCAGCAGAACATAGCCTTGAAATAAACATTTTCATCAAGGAGTAACAGATGGAAGTGCTTTTGTTTCCATTTTGTATTAACAGAAACTTCTCATTAAGCTCTTGAAGCATTACAATTGGATAGCTCTGTGTTTTCCTGCTTGGTGGGCATAGCCCGGCTGACTTTGGTGGGCAGACACTTCACCACATACACTCATAGAAGTCATGAGTTCACACCTTTACAGATCATATTTTCTACCATTTGTTTAGATTTTTTGCTTTGCATTGTGTCTTGTGTAAAATTGAATTCCATTCAATATTTAATTCTAAGTAACAGAGTTAGCCAGCAGGAAAAGCAACTCACAGAAACAGACTGAGCACACATTTCACTTACAGAGTTTAAGCTCCCAGTATGGGGAAATAGATAAATATCTGCTACTATTTTTAGGTACTGCTGAATGCAATTCAGTTTGTTGACTGGGAACCCCATCTGGATGAGCCATTCATCCCTATGTGTCAGCTGTGACAATTCGTAATACCAGTCTGAGCTGATTGTGTCATTATTGTAAATGACATTCCAGCCCCACAAAGTTTCTGGGTGGAACTTAATATGATTAAATACCAACCTATTTTTTTTCCCCTCCAGGAAGTAGAGAGCAAAGCAACTCAGGCATTCAGCAGTGTCAAAGAGTTTTCAAGCTACTAAGAGAAGACATTATTGTAGGGTTAAGCAAAAAGTTTTATTAAAGAGTGATTTAACAATGATGATTAAACAGTTACTAAACAATGACAGCAAGGTGGTCAAACACTCTACTACTTACCACACTTCTAATAATTAAGCTAGCTTGTGTAGAGGATGCTTTAGATTTAACACAAAGTGTCACTTACCTTGCTATAGATTCCAGATGCCAGGCAAGGGATCTCTTGGTCTTGAGGAGTGGCCTTGAGACACACCCTTGGGAGATCACCACTGTGCAGCCACTGCCATGCAGGAGAACTCAGGCTCTGGGACTGCAGATATCTGTAGTGGAAAGTGATTGGCTTGTAGTCAAACTCCTCTCTGGTGGCAGCCAGAGAAGTTTTAGATATGTCTGGTCTCAGTTCAGGCTGGTCCTGTTAACTCCCAGTAAGACCCAAATTCTTTAGGTGAAGAGATGCAGCTTAGCATAATTTCTCAAGGTTTGCACAGCAGGGCTGGCTTCAGCCAAGCCTATTTGTTGGTGATGCCAACAAATGGTGTACCACTGACTCAGAGCAGGTGTGCCCATTACACCATAAAGTTTGAGAAAGGATTTGGGAAAGAAAGATCTCAATTCTTACACTCCTTCACCTCTGATGTAACTGTTCATACTTCTGTCTCACAGCAATGCTTCTGTTGTACTCCTAATAGAAAAAGGTGGGATTTGGAGTAACTCACAAAGCTCCATTTAGCCTTGATTCTGGCTTTGACACCTTTTAGCTCCTCCCATCAGGTCATGAACCCACAGCTTTTTACCTTTACTGTCCTATTCACTAGAAATGAACCCTCTCCTCTATCTTCTCTGCTCTCCTCACCTTTAAATCCTATGTCAGAATACACCATATTGAACTATTCTTCTTTTCCTTCATCTACTATATATCGCTATTTCATATTTGTGTGTTAATTCTGTGAAGAAAGGAGTGCCTATGGCTTATATGTGTATTAAATACATCAAAACATGAAGCTGAAAATATGACTACTGGATAATTTTAACTTACTATAGGCCTAGTATGTGACTTTAGCCTGTTCATTTTTCAAATTCCCTTCCTTAACACTGGAAATAAATACCATTAATCAATCCTCAGTGTGATGATAAAAACTACAGGGCTACATAAATACCCTACATGTACAAGACTTCTTTGTAACAATTAGTCAGAATTGAAGGGCTTAATAAAAAATTATCAAGACTACAAAAAATACAGTTCAAACTGTAATTAAAATTGTAGCTTTTCAGAGGTTCTGATCATTAATGCCTGTGGGGGGGGTCATCTGTGCACAGCAAGCTCTGAGGGGCTTCTTCACCTCACTAATGATATGGGTCAGCACCTCCTCAAACCATGCCTCCAGCTGCAGCAGTGTCCTGCTGTGGCAAAACAGTTCTTTGGGACATAACTCTTGGAACACAATAAACCAAGTCTCATACAGAGAAGCAGCATAATCTTCCCATGACTCAGCCCTGACTCACCAGGAGCCTTTTCCACATTTAAGGAAAACCATGTCATTCAAGCCATCTTTAGCACAGATGACCTTTTAAGAAAGATTGCTCAAAATATTTTGCAACTATTAAGAAAAGCAAGCACTGAAAGTTTGCCTTTCATAGATGTCCCAGCCCAGCCTTACTTGCAGGTAAGCACCCTAACCACAGACTGGGGTTCAGATCCTGAGAGCTGGACAACACACTATTTAACTGAAACTAAATAGAGTCAGATTTGTGTTCTTGGTACTGACAGCAACCAGGTAGCATTTGTGTAAAAGGAAGAAGGCAAATTTAGAGCTGAGTAAGCGTTTTTCCAACAAGTATTGCCCACCCAGCTGATACTTTGAATCAGCACAGACTTCCTTGCTTGCCTTCCAATTGCAGGGAGCAAGAGTCTCCTGATGGTGTGGGAGTGCAGGGCAGTGCAGCCTCGGGTGGCCTGGCACAGGTCCCCTGCACCCCAACAGGCTCCATTCCCTGCAGCTCTGCAAAACACAGGCTCCACTGCAATGGTCATCCACCCTTGCCAAGGAAATCTCTTTTCTTTCTCCAGCTCATTCAGTCCTAGGTGATTACAGCTGGCCTCAAATGCTTTTTGGTTCGCTTATGTTTTTTTGGTTTGTTCCTCTTATCCTCATTTTGAACATTGCAAACTGCCTTTGATTGAAGTGTTAAGGAAGGGAGCCTCATTGCATCCTGAACTAGGCTTTCACATTCATATTTAGAAGCAATAAAAAAAAAAAATTGTTGTTTTCTACAAAGCAGTTGCCATCAGCAAAGCCTATTATCTGAGCTAGCTCAAAGCACAAAGGAATGACAGCTCAGTGCTAACATTTAAGATTCAGAGTTTTAGTCTATTTTAATATATTCTATGATGAGTCAGAGCCCTCTCCTAGAAATATGGAAAAGCATTTTTTCTTTTCTTAAAATAGTTGTGCTACTTCACCTGATAAATACTTAACACCCATAAATATGGGCCACTGATATGCCTGCTTCCTTCAGTTTTACTTATACAGCAGAGAATGCAAAAATGTGTTAAGAGAAAAAAATTAATGATGATGCTCAGATGTAAATATACCAGAATTATTAAAGTGTCTGAGTTTACAGTTCACCTGCAGACTGTGGCTAGTCAGATTTTTTTGTTTGTTCAAGCACAATGTCTTAATAAACCAAATTGCTGAGATTTCACAAAATTCAAGTATCCCAGGAAGATACAAGCACACAATAATTCTCATTATCTCTCAGTTACCCATAGATTTGCCAACAGAGGGAGTCCTCTTACTGTCTACCAAAGCTTTGTTAGAGTGACGGTGTCCCTGCTGAGCAGCTATCATCGCACTAATAGCAAGGAGGAAAAAGGTTTGCAAAACAGAGTCACCTCAGGGTATTTAGCAAATCAAAACACGGGGTAATATCAGACATCCAATCACTAGAAGTGCACTGGAGGATTCAAGTGGTCGTTTGTGTTATTACAGCAATTATATCTATGGGCAGAGCTATGAAATATCTATGAGAGTAATTACTCTTAAATACATTGAGAAGAATTATGCCAGATAAACATATAGTTCCCTTATGTCTGCAAATCAATGCTTAACTGTAAAACTCCTTTGAGTTTTCCTGTTTTTAGAGTCACAGCTCGTCAAACAGCAGCTATTCAGGTTGTTGTTTGATGGAAAAAAAATAATTAAAAAGAAACCAAACCAAAACAAACCCCCTCCCACCCCCCCAAAAAAAGAAACCAAACCAACACCAAGACTTCCTTCTACATTATGATTTCCTTAAAGGATCCTGTAATTTTATTCCCAACCATACTAATTTGTGTACAGTAAGACCTTCAGAACATCAGTTGCTTTTTCATCACAGAATAAACCAAACTTTCTTGTGAACTATGAAAATATTAATATAGTATTTTATAGTCACTGTTTGGATCATTATGGTTTCTGCTGCTTACCCCTTACTTGAAGTGGCCAGTTCCCTTATGACTTGATGAAAGGATTTCAACAGCTGATGTGATAATGACATGAATCATGGTCCAGATTAGCTTGGACACAGCATTTCAGTGCATTTAAGGGAAAATTTAAAAAAAGAAGAAACGGCATTATACTTATTACCTCAAAGTAAACACTTTGCAACTACAGTGTATTGCCAGGGCTAACAGTTTTGTGAAATATTAAGTAACCAAACCAAGAACTGAGCAGCAATCAGGTATGGTGATTTCCTAGCAGTAGCATAAGGACAAAAATATGAGGCTATGATCACATCCGTGTGACAGTGGCTCCTTCCTTCTCACAGAAATTGCCATTTTTAGGGTAGTCAAGACTGAAGTGCTCATGGAGCAACTCCTAAACCTCGGGGTTTTCTCAGCTTGGTACATCCCAGTGAGTATTTTAGAAAAATAAAAGTACACAACCAGTATTAGCTGCATCTGTTCCATCCCCTTTTGTCCTTTTACTGGGACCTGGATTTACACAGAGATTCCAGCAGCAGTCCTGACCTCAACCAATTACCTTCTAAAACAAGTTCAGGATCAGTAAACCAGTGCCAAGAAAACTCAGAACTACAACTAAATTGAGCCTAATTATTGATGGGAGTAAAATTGAGATTTTTTACTTCTTCATTTTCAGATGAGTCAAGTTCTTTGTTTTCTACTTCTTTTAACACTGCAAACAGATCAGCTTTGCAAGTTTTGGACGTCTGGCCATTTTAGATAAACATTCCAACCTTTTAAGTGTTTACAGACTAAACTGTAGAGCTAAATGTTTATGTTGCACTGAATAACTTCAGCTTTGTATTTAACAGAAAGACTGCTAAAGTAATATTGTTTCAATCAGTAGGTGAAGACACATGCTACTGAAATAACCAAAATTTTAAAGGAAGATATTAATACTAGTCTGTCCATAAATATTTAATGCATCTCTATGTAGTAGGCTTTATAGTTGGAATATATAAAACTGCCACAGTTTACAGGGTTTTTAATTTTAAACCTATCCTCAGACCCTTCAAAAACAATTATTATAGCCTTTAGCTTCTAAAGCTAGAGTGTAGCTTTTTGTGTTTCAAATTGTATGTTCCTCCCCTAATTCTAGTTTAATATTAAATAAATCCTTGGCCATGTATTTCAAGGGGCATGGCCTAAGATATTGCTTGGAATAGGGTGTGGATGCTATTATTGTACCTGTGCAGGGCAAGAGTTTACCCTAACACATGTAAAACTACATAGAGCAGAGAACTGCTCTGGTCCAGAATAGAGAATTTCTGGACCAAAATATCTGTTCTCAATTAAATCTTAGTTTTAAATATCAATCTAGCTGCTGCTGCTAAGATTAATTTGAATCATGTCTCTCTCTCCTTGGTATTTACATTTTTCTTACTCTTTGGGGACAGCAACAATATCTAATAGTGTGTAAATCTGAAAGTATATAATTCACTCCAAATACCACTTTGCTTCCAAAATGAAAACAAGCTGGGGTACAATATTGCTCCTAAGAAGAAGGAAAACAAGATGAAGAGAGTTGCAGTGGCATCAGCTTGCAGGCTGTGTTTTTCATTGCTCAGCTGCTCATGTAGAGACTTTCCACGTTAGAACAACACAATGATGAGGATATTTCTTAACTTCTGTGGTTAACTTGTACGTTTCCATTTGACTGTGAGTTTCAGCTGGATGTGTTTTCCACAAGGTCAGAAGAGTTTGCCCTGGATCGGCTCCTCTGGGGATCATACCATTACACATTTCCTGTTTTGCACACGACAACACAGTAAGCTTTTTCAGACACAAGCTGTATGCGTAAGCCTTCTGAGCAGAGTT